GGGCAGTCTCCGTGGCTGGGACTGAGGGAGAGTGGTGACTTCTGGCCGGCCCGAGCAAGTAGCAGTTTTCTTTGGTAACAGAGAGGGCTGCTGCCCTGGTTTTAACCCTTTCCAAATACTTATTCCAATAACAAAGGGTAATGCTGGCCCTCGCAGGTCAGTACGACATTAAAAAAGATGCCAATATGAAGAACGTCGATGCAAATCTTGTACCCTAGCTGATAACCTCTCTGAGGGAATCTGCTGGCAGTTCCGATCCCGGAAAAGCCTGGGTGCCTGACGCAGGCCCCACGGATTCTAGGAGGGGGGCCACAAACACGTGTCTTATGGCCACCAGGTACTGCTCAATGTTCCATGGCCCTTTCTAACGGACAAAGGACGAAGAGGATAGCTGTCGAGCATAGGCACGAACGACACCGAAGACAGCAACGTGTCAGTATTTAGCCACAAGACCCAGGAGGAGCTTGCCTCTTTAGAAGAAAGTGGCGCTAAGCTCAGAGTAAAGCGACAGCAATCGCCTGAGAAAGTCTAATTAGCAACGAAAGATATAACATAGACGCTACAATGAACAAACGATAAGTACGGCAACACAGTGAATGCTGTTAAAATTGGGCTCAAAGCCCTGCTTAAGCACCTTCAACAGGCAAAGGTGCTAAGAAAATGCTTTTTTCAAGGAGAAGAAGTTCGTGCAAACACTTGGAAGTTGTCGCTCAAATTCCTGCAGTGGAAGAAACAAAGGCGATATCATTTTTAACGGCATGTACAGAAAAGAACCCTGAACACTGCCCTAAAGAAAATAAAACTAAGTAAAAAAAACAGAAGCCCATCGGACAGCCCTGAAAAATGTCAGCAAGTCATGCCTCTAAAGAAAAAGAAAACAAGAAGAAATTCTCCTCAATGAAAAAACAAGACAAAGGAAAAAATTGAATGCGACAACAATAGTAATAGTGGCGATGACCGAAGAGCAGACCTTAGCAAAGGGGCTGAGAACGATAAAGGTGAACTTTGATCCTGATAAGGTTAATGTGGCAGTCCAAAGTGTTGTTAGTATAAAAAAAGGAGACATACTTATTAAGGCCAAAGGTGCAGAGAATGCTTCTGTATTCTCACAGCAAATTGAGAAGTCGATAGCCGGACAGGGTACTGTCAAAATGAGCGACAGAAAAGTGATATTAGAGGTCCGAGACCTGGATGCCATTGTAAAGAAAGATAAGGTCAACGAGGCTTTCGTTAGAACTTCTGGACTTAATAGCCAGGAACCAGAAGTAGCTCTCTTAAAGCCAAATGCCAGAGGACGGAGGCTGGCTTTAATAAAGGCTGACGAAGCATCTGCCGGACGAGTAGAATAGGAAGGCAGGTTACGAGTTGGCTTTGTAAGCTGCCAAATTTGGAGAAGAATTGAAGTAACAAGATGTTTCAAAAGTCTAGAATATAGACACGTCTCAGGCAACTATGAGAACGGAAACAGATCCAAGCTTTGCTTTTCGGTGTGGAAGCTCAAACCACCGGAAGAAAGAGTGTCCAGGCCTAGCAAGGTGCTTCCTTTGCCCAACAACAGACAACAAGCACGAAGCAGGCAGCGAAAGCTACCCCCCCTTTAGAAGAGCCCTAAAAGATGCCAGGGATAAGGCCCAAGCAGGATTAAAATAAGGCAAAAAGGCCTTGAGTTGAAAGACAGGCTAATGTGGACCTACGCTGCGCTGGGTACTTTTTACCTATCAGCAAGGGAAAGCATTAAGCTTATAGTGGTGCCGGCTGAGCGGGCGACCTACTATAAAGCGCTAGCTAAGGCGCTGGTCCTCAGGGACCCTGAGTTCTATTCAGGACTCGAGAGCATCAGCACCTCTAGCAAATGGTGGCGAGCTTGCTCGTTAATGCTGTGAGACGCGATGTTTTTTCTGGTTTTTTCATCCTGAAGTAATTCTAACGCGGTTCTAGGGTGGGACAGTAGCTACGTGGCAGAGGTAGGGGTTTGAGTGAAAATTACTGCGTCCCACACTGCCACTGTTCTCGTGGTGTGCCTCAATGCATTTTTCCTTTCTTTACAAAAAATAATATAAATAACTTTACATCCTCGAGGGGCTGCAAGACTTTGTCGTTGGTGAGTGTGCCTGCCTTAGGACCGAGTAAGCCACAAAAAAAAGTGATTACTCTTTTGAATTGTGCACGAAAAAAGGAAAACAGCAGTAATTAACGTTATAAGAAAAGAATGGTTTTGTATTGCACTTTTCGGCGAGAAAAATAACACCTGTTAAGTTTAAGCAATGCTTGTGTTAAAATTTCACCTTTTTACCCCGTCCCCCTCACCTACTGTTTTCTATACACTCCCCCTCTCCCCACTATATATGTATATCTGCCAACCATGCCGTGTTACTCTTCTGCATACCTTTATTCACCATTTTCCCTCACACTCCCAAGCAATTTTATTTTCACACAATAATTTTTATTTTACTTTGAATTTTTTTCTTTTACAGTTCTAAAAAAAAAAAAAAAAAAAAATACTGTATGGAACAGTTGAAAAAACGAAAATAATTTTTTTATATTTTTCTCTGCTTCGGAAGACGCGTATTGTACTCTCTGATGAAATATCGCGATAAACATTTTTCCTTCTCCAAACTTTCATATCAATAGTTATAAGGCATAAATTAATACAAACATACGGACTTGTTGTATTTGTCAGTTGAATTTTATTTTTGTAGATTATGACCAAAGAATATGCAGAATTTACCTATCATATAATGTCCAAAAATATACATACAAATATATTTTCAAGTGAAATAAATAACCATTGTCTTATTATTAACTAAATTCAATACTTTCTACATACAAATGTAGTATTTACAAATGCCAATAAATACACAGATTGGTCTTGTAGGCAAATGTATCCTTAAATACATCAAATTAATAACATTTAGACGCTACTGCTTTCTGAAGCTTCTTAGTATAGGATATATGTTTCCCAATGNATGTGATAAAAAAAAAAACAAGAAATGAAAAAAAAAGAATACAACAAGAAATAAAGAGAAAAATAAAACAAGAAATTAAAAGAAAAAAAAAACAAATGAAAAAATCATAAAGGAAATTAAAACAACGAACCAGGGGGTATTAATGGGTCATGGGACCCACGGTAAGAACGAAGTTCTTTTAACACGAGATGGGTGTAGACACAATTTCTCAGGTAACAAGGGGGTCGCTAGACCTAGAGGAAGAAATCAGCTTAGTAAACGTTAGTACTGCATTTATGTTGTTGACTAAAACAAAAACTTGAAAAACGAATGGAAATAAAAAAAACAACAAGTAGTTTAGTACTCACGATGGTTAAACTTCGTGAAAACCTCGTGCATAAATACAGTACTCACGAAGTTCAACCATCGTGAGTACTAAGCAACTTATTGTTTTTTTTTTTATTATCATTCGTTTTTCAAGTTTTTGTTTTAGTCAACAACATAAATGCAGTACCAACGTTTACAGAGCTTTGTTTTTTCTGTGGGTCTAGCGACCCCCTTGTTACCTGAGAAATTGTTTCTATACCCATCTCATGTTTAAAGAACTTCGTTCTTACCGTGGGTCCCATAACCCAATAATATTCCCTGGTTTGTTGTTTTAATTTCCTTTATAATTTTTTCATTTGTTTTTTTCTTCTTTTAATTTCTTGTTTAATTTTTTTCTTTATTTCTTGTTGTATTCTTTTTTTTTCATTTCTTGCTTTTTTTTTGCAACAGCAAATGGATAAACGAATATAGAAAATCTAGAATTGTGTTGGGATATCTCTAAAAATAAATAAAAAAATTAATTAACGCATGCACGCGTGTGTAAATTAGTATTTTTTTACTCGTTTATCTCACAATGTACTGTTTGAAGCGTATGTACACCCAACGGAAAGATATTTTCAGACATGTCGATTAGGGGTTCCGTAGGTTGAGGGACACTGACGTTAATTCTTGTTGAGAAGGTAACAGCGCTAACAGCCTCTATCGATAAAAAAGACATCGGAGATATCCTCTTGTAAGACATAGGTTTCCGTCTTCGGATAACAAACTCTATATATGCTTTGCTCTCTGCTATAGTAATGTTGCAGGCATGGATTTAGAGAGGTAACCGCCCTAGGCTACAAATTTTTGGTACCCCCTGTTTTGTCTTCTGAAAAAAAAACTTATAAATTTAAACAGCTGTTTAGGTTATATTAAATATAATTTCCAGGGCTACTTTATTCAAGGTAAACAAAATTAAGATCTCTTTTAAGGTAGTAGTTCGGTAAAACGACTAGACGATAAATTTTTCTAAAATTTTGCGTGTGGCTTAAGTTTGATATAGTTCATCACGAGTCTAAATTTGGAGATGCCTAGCCGTGTTGTTTCGGGGATATTAAAGTTTTACTGTTGATCTTTTAACTCGTAAGAGATAGGAAAGCACCTGGTTTGGGGTAGGATACTAAACGAAATCATTCATAACTCACAAATGAAACGATCAATCTTTTCCAAAAAACGATATGTTGTAATTAATACTATAAATAAACTAAATACCAAGTCTCAAGAAGCCTAGCCGTACAGTTTTTGTATTTTAGCTTTCCAAAGTTGAAAACTTTCGTGTAGTTGCGTGAGAGGGACAATTACAGCTGTACAGTAAAGACTGCATAACCTATGCATACTCTATAGTGCAGTATGCCACAAGATATACTGAACCGAACTACTGCTTTAAGTTCTATAATACAGCCATGCGATATCTTACAGAAAAGGTTCAAGAAGTCAATACAATAAGTGAAAAGTCAGTCTTGACTGCAATATAAATTACAAGGATTGTTTTTTTATTCAAATTTAAGTAACGTTTTTCATTTGAATTTTAACATTATTTTGAAAATTATTAAGTGATACATTTATAAATAGTAATAATACATGTATTTTTATTAAATAAAGTTACTTAAAAAAATGACATTCGTTTCTTATTTAGATAGAAATTGTGAACCCTCCTGATTCATATTTATTTAAACTTTCACAAATTGTCTAGCTTTTTTTTTGGCAAATGACTATCACATCCTCGTAGTCCAGAGATCTTAGTTGTTGTGATTCTATGATAAGTACAGCGAGAGCATTTAGTCTGACCTCTGTCATTAAAGATCTTAAATAATTTTTGACACAACGCAACCAAGAAAAACTGCGTTCTCCCGTGCAGTTTTTCGGAGGAACACAAATACTCATGCAAAGAGCTACATCGACGTTTGGATCGACGTTTGGGTATATACTCTGCAAATCTTCGTTGCGAATCAACTTCAATAATTGTGTTGTTGTCTGTAATTTTTTAGAACTCAAAGAGCAGTGAGCACCGAAATGTACACATTCATAGGAAAATGTTTCTTCGAGATCATCAGGAAATATCTTTTGTAATTCGTTCGCTTTTTGACGAATATCAACTGAACGCAAAGTTTGACAAGTTAATGAGGAATAAAAATTTATCATGAAATAGCTGGTATGCATCGCGTCGCTTCTTAAACTCACTTAGAAGATTATCAATGATGACGAGAAAAGTACTGATTCGTAAGTCTTCTCGTCCGGTTAATTTAACTTTTTCTCTTACAGATTCATCGGCTTTTCTCTTTTTCTTTTTCTCTCGTCTTGTATCTTTTTCATACTCTAGGACATCTGAAATGCCTAGAGCCCTCTCTTCAAAGTAATCAAAATCATATCAAGTTTTTGTAATCAGATTAATTAATGAAGCGTATTGTTGAATAACTAAAAATAAATCAATTTCTACACTGTGCAGTTTTTTATTCACGGCATTAATTCTGCTTAGTAAGAACCCCCACAAAACTATCATGAACGTAGTTTCCAATCACTCTAGTTTAAGCTAAATGCCTCTTGCTTTACACCTCGTATCCGATTTAAATAGTGTATTTTCTTCAATTAATTGTTAAGCATGCAAAACATCATCTAAATTTTCGTACAAACTTTTACAAGCATCTGCACGCGCAGACCATCGAATTTCTGATACACTTTTTAGAGTGACGGCTTGTCCTTTGTCTCCTTTCAACTGACGAGATAGTTCGATTTCATCTTGTAAAATTTTGAGTTGAACAACTAAAAAATATGTATGTTTTTCCCAACAAACTAAAAAAATTACATGCTTTTTGACAGCAACTTGCAGCAGATTCACCAATCACATTGAGCGAATGCGTTGCACACAAAATGTATTCAGCTTGTAGGGAAAGTCTCTTAATTTGTGCTTGCAACCCGTTGTAAATGCCACTCATACTTGAGGCATCATCGTAAGACTGCCCACGGCAATTCTTAATGTCAATCCCAAATTTTTCCAATGATTCAATAACAGCGTCAGAAATTGTCTTTGCGGTATGACCTACATTAGGAATGAATTCAAGAAAGCGCTCAATAGGCGAGCCGTCATCTTGTACATAACGAATAATTATTGTTAATTGATCGACATGAGATAAATCAGGCGTAGAATCTACAATAATTGGAAAATATTTTGCTGCCTGTTTTTCTTCAACGATAACATTTGTTATTTGTTTTGCCATTAATTGTATGAATTCTTCGCAAATCGTAGAGGAGAGATAACTTATATGACCACTGCCTGGATTGCCACATCTCGAAATATGATCAGCTAAAAATGGATCAAATTCTGCTATAAGTTCAAAGGACATTAGGTAATTGCCATTATGCACCGATCCGAATTTTTCATTGTCTCCTCTAAAAGGAAGACCCCTTGACACAAGTGCTATAATAGTAGCTACTACACATTTTAATACGTTCTTCCAGTAAGAAATCTCTTCGTCGAGTTGAGTTGTAAGTTTTTTATCGATGCGACCACAAATACTTTCTCTTTTCTTCAAACTCAAAGCTCATAATTTATGTTCCAACGAATTTTTATGTGATACATCACGACTGGAAGCATTTTTTCAGTCATTAAATCCTTCTTTACAAGCAAATTGAGATTTACCATTGAATGCGAGACATGGTGCGCAGTACACTCGTCCTGTACTTTGAGAATATACTAGCCAGTTACGAGGTCTTTTTTTACCATTTACATGGACGTGCTCGATCCAAGATTTAGATAAATAACGAACTGTATTATCTTCATACGTTCTCTTACTCAGAGGAAAATCCGTACTAATATTTTGTTCAATGCCATGAATAGCTAAATGATCTCGTAGGTGATTGTTAATTATCCATACAGCAAGTTCAGTGATCATGATGAATTGATCCTCTTGCACCTCCAAGAATGCTAAATATTTTAATTTATTAGTTGACAACTTTTAATTCAACTTTGAAAATTTTCATTTGCATTAAAATATTTAAAAACTAAGTTTTAACTTTGAGTCATACCGTAGTATTCAAAATCATTTTAATAATTTGTATTTAAATTGTACCACAAAAATTAAAAATATGTATAATTTTCTAGAAAACTGTAAAAAATATATTTTAAACTTTTACTTATGAAATAATACAACAATATTAAATACTTCTTTTATTAGAAAAAAATTTAAAAAATTACACAACATGAACAACTATCGATTGGATCAGCTATATTTTTAATTATTTGATTATAACGATGAATAGTAGCTCACGTTGTTTCGGTGGATCTGGAAGGATGAGTAAAGTATCTGTTGGTGAACTCGAAGAAGATTCAGATATTAAATTTTCTGTAGGATTAGCAGGAGTAGTCATCTCAGCAATCAAAATGGGTCCTTCTAGATGACTCGAGGTATCATTTTTATTTTCTTGTGGTGTAGTAACAACGAACGAATCGAGTTTACGTTTTTTTTTAAAGATTTCGTTGTTTTTTTCCAAAGATTCTTTCAAACGCTTTTTATTTTGTGACTCACTTACTTTTTTCTGCACACTAATTTTGGTATTTATGATGTGTAAGTTGTAACACCGTTAAAAATATCGTCTCACTGCTGGCACTTCTGCAGAGTAAGTTGCTTACAGAGACGTTGACGCTTTCTCACAATTTTTTCTAAAACAAAATTGAAACGAGTGTACGAACGTGTTGATCAGAGCAACCTGAGCAGCGAGATGTCTATACTGACTTTGCGAAACAAATGATAAACATACGTGCACTTGATTCTACTAGGTAAGGCTATGTTTATTTACATACTCCATCAGATTGTGGGTTAGCACTGACAGCCCGCGTGTGCTCAATATATATATATACGTTTTGGGTTCGTTCAGCAGATAAGAATGGTCTGGCCGGTCAAGATCGTCCACTCAGCTTCTTATGCGCACGTTCCAATTTCGGAATTTCGGTGCCCTCAAAAAATTTTGCGCTCTAGGCAGTAGCCTATATTGCCTATCGGTAAATCCGGCCCTGGTTTGTTGGCAGTAATCGTGTGGAAAAATATCAAATTTATATCTATTTTATGTTTTTAATATATGTTGACTTATTTTGAAAAGGAAAAAATGGTTTTCCATTTACGTAGAGGATAGGATGGAGACAGCATATTTTTAGATAAGTATTTTAGTGTAAAATTATGTATTATAAAAATGTATGAGCCTTACAACCATTTCTTTGTTGAAATGTTGTTAAAACATCTATTTTTTGCACACTTATTGCGAAAAAACTTGTACGCAACTCGTGCGGGATGATTTCCGGCACTCGTGTGATTGACTCGCACTCGTGGCCGGTGACGATGACTCGTGCCATGCAATAACACCCATGCTACGCACTGTGTGCGCAACTGGCACTCGTTTCCGTCAACTCCGGCCACTCGTGCGAGTCAATCACGACTCGTGCGGGTAATCGTCTTTTCCGCACTTTTTACGTAAATAACTATTAGCTATTCAGACATTTCTAAATCACGTTAATCATCAAGTGACACTTATTATTACTATTATTATTATTATTACCATTAATTGATTGGATTTTTATTTGGCATGGCCATTGACACGCTTTGAGCTATGTCCTGCCACACTGCCTCTCTTGTTTTAGTACACCGTTCAATGGATGATGAGGGTCGTATAAAAATCTTCTGTTTCAAACTTGCATTAAAATTTCTTTTTCTAGTGGTTCTATCACTAGAATAGCGATAGTTGCAATAATCAAAAATATATAAAATGGCTGACCCAACAGTTATTGAGAGCCACGCGGCAAAAGTGTTGAATGTTTTTGCGTCCCTTTTTACCAATGGCTTTTTCATCGTCTGTCTTTGTCTTTGGTGTTAAGAACATGAAAGGGGGGGAAGTGACTAATGCGATTTCTTAGAAACACGAACAACAACCGGAATCAGTGACGTTAAAAACAAAAAAAAAGGACATTTTAATTTCAGATCATCCCATTTTCACCTATACCAGAAAACGTTGGCCAATTACGCTTATTATTATGTGTGAATACTCCTCAACAAGTAATATGCTAGTTGTTACGATGTTCCAGATCAACATTGAATAAATGGATGGTGCGCATAAAACTGGACCCGCCTTTACAATGTATTCTGCAGAAAACGTCATAGGATGAAGGCGTAGTGGACGCAGAACTGTTAGTTTCTGGGGCTGGGTTTTTGGTGATAAGCCAGGATCGTTGGTACAAATAGTCAGAAAGCTGACTGCTAGACTGTACATTGAAATTCTTAATAAACACCTGTGCTCCCAAGTGTTGGCACGCTATCTAAACAAGCTACAGATATACGTGGTTGCGGACAACTCTCCAATTCACACTGCTCAGATTGAGCGTCAACGGTACCAAGACCACTCAAGACTAGGACGGCTGCCACATGTACCTACTTCTCCTGATCTTAACTACATCGAGAATATCTGGTTCATCATGACTCAAGACTGGCATCCAAGCGAGATTAGAAATAATCAGAAACTTTTAGATGGATGCAGAAATTCATGCTGAAAAATAAGCCCAATCCATTTTCAAATCTCAGCAACTCCATAAATAACAGTATAGAACGGATCATTAAAGTTAATGGCTTATATATACATTACTAGATTTATTTTAATTGACACATAAACATTAGTCACAATTTATTCTACTTAGTTTAACAGCGCTCACTCATTTCAGATATTGTTTTTAAATTTATTAAAATTTTTCTTTTTTTTGTGTCTATAAAATGTAGATAAAACTTGTGTCTTGATGAACTTGGCTTGTTTACATTCTTTATAAAGAAGAAAACCACTATTTCTTTACGATGACGGTCAAGTATACGTATAACCATAGAGGTATAAGAATAGAGGGGAAAAACGCTACACTAGCCCATTAGTGGCAGCGACAGCATAATTAAGTGTTGCGGGGCATTTGTCCTTGTTATCAAGGCCACGTTATTGGCTACTTCTTTGTCCTGAATCCTACAGTTGATTTAATCTCATATAGGACTCAACCAATAACATATCTGCCAGACAAAGACAGATGCCCCATTACGTAGCGAATTCTGCTGTAGCATGTCACGCCCCCTTTTCTCCTCTATTCTTTTACCTCTATGTGTATAACTGGTGTGGTCGAACAAATTTGTTAATACCTAAGTACTTATTAGGTAGTCTACAGTTTACCAAACCACTCTTGGATCACATGATGCTGTCCCTCCAACAAGAATCAGCCTATTATTAAAGGTAATTGATTATAAATTATAGTAAAGTCCATTGTTGTAAAGACTGGTCTATGCTGGGAAGGAATATCTAGTTCAATATAAGCTTCAGTTAGGACTTGTCGAGAAATTCAGTTTATCCACGTGGCATCTTTGGGACTATTTTAAATTAAATGCAATCATCAACAATTAACACTTCTTTTGAGGCAGCAATTACTTCCGATGGCTGTATAGCTCTTGAGAAATGAGGTGGCATCTAAATAAAAACCTCGTCAACAAACAATCCATCTTCTGGGAAGTAAGCCCATAGATTAAGGTACTTGCTGACAATAGATGTAGGCTACAACAATAAAAAAACAATATCTTAACAAAGAAATGGTTCTAAGGCTCATACATTTTTATAATAAATAATTTTACACCAAAATACTCATCTGAAAATATGCTGTCTTCATCCTTTCTTCAAGATAAATGGAAAACCATTTCTTCCTTTTCAAAATAAGTCAACATATATTCAAAACATAAAATAAATATAAATTTGATATTTTTCCACACCATTACTGCCAACAAACACTCTTCATAACTATAGCAGACAGCAGAGCATATACAGAGTTTGTTATCCGAAGACGGAAACCTATGTATCACAAGAGGATATCTCCAATGTCTTTTTTATCGACGGAGGCTGCTGTCAGTGCTGTTACCTTCCCAACAAAAATCAACGTCAGTGTCACTTAACCTACAGAGCCCCTGATCGACATGTCCGAGAATATCTTTCCGTTGGGTGTACACACATGTACAAAAAAACATGCTTTAAAATATACATGAAAAATAAGGTCTTTGTTCACTACATTCGTGTCATGCATTTTATCTAATGAGTTGTTAAAAATACACTTTAAATAGATCATCAGCACTCTATTGCCATATTATATAAAAAACAAATTTGATACCTATTAAACAATAAAAAAAATTTACAAATTCACGTATAACAACTACATTGTAACTGCTAAGAAGCACGTATTTTTTATATATCTAATTTTATTATAGTTTTTAAGAATCACTAGATAAAAAGTGTATTATATCTGCACAAAAATAAAGTTTAAATCATCAAAATAAAAAGTAACAAATATCGGTGGAAAATCTTATTGGCGTTTACGGAGTTATAATTAAATATTCTTTTATCAATCATATTACATGTCTAGTAGCAACATAACTTTTGTTATTATTGACAAAAAGTAGACATAGTACACACAAAAATTAATCATTTAATTCGATAATTTTTTTTCTTCTAGGTCTTTTATTAAACTATAAGTAAGACAATGATAGCTAAATCCAATAATTTGAAAGGGTACATAAGAAAAATGTATTTTACCATTAACTCTGTAGAAATGATTTATTTTACTAAATTTTGGACCACTTCTGTAAATTGTAGCTATGAAAATAGCACCAGCCTTATACGTCACATTATCAATGGTGACATAACTCAGTGTACTACCTACATCAACTGTTTAATTATATCTATGCTTTAGTAATATTCTTTAGCTAATTGGATTATAATTTCAGACATTACACAATTGAAGGGCCAGATACAATTACATGCTTAGCGCTCAAAACGGAATATAAGCTCATGACCTAGGAGACGATTTTCCAAAGTCAAGGAATCGGTAAAAAAAAATGTAAGCTATTGAAAAATGACAATACTTTTTTTTTGTATCTGCAACTTTTAAGAACAAGTCATACTTTTTGAGATAAAAAATGCAAACCCTTTTCTTCAAACACCTAGATTCAATAGTTTTTTAAAACATAAATCGTCGTATCTAGGTTATTTATGTTCAAAACCATTTGAAATTTGGCATGGATACGTAGAATACTTTAGTGTTTCTAATGAAATAATCAAATTTTGGAAAACTTATCACAATAAATAAATATTTAATGAAAAAAAAAGCAGTGCACTATACATCTAACTTGCAAACTTCAACGACAAAAAGCATGTGGGGAAGTTTCAGCTTGACAAAATGTTCAGCAATAAAGTTATTCCTCTAGGTTGGAAAAAGTTTTGTACAAATTTTCAGATCAATCCGTTCAGAATGAGTCGAGATACAGTCATTCTAGTATAGACGTAATATGTAAACAATGTCAGCGATGCGCCGT